AGAGAAAAAAGAATCATGTCTCTACATAACATTTTAGATACAGTTCCCATCTTTTTATCTTTTAGCTGCTTGCAAAAAATTTTGCTAATCCAGAAAACCTTTTCTTGTTAGTCCTATGTTAAAACACACCCACCCAAACACATACCAAAACTCTGAATGTTTAAAAAAAAGAATTAAATATACAATATCTATAGGAGACAAGTTGATAGTATAAATATTAGATACCATTCCAGTTAGAATCTTCCGTTGTTTCCATGGGTCATTCATTCCAGGATAAGAACTGTCTGACACTAAACATTCCAGCCTAGCACACCCTCCTTTGTCTCTGTGTGAGGAAATAAAATCTACTCAGTCCACAGAGGGTGGGGGATGGGGATGGTAAGGAGGGGAAACATGAATATGCAAATTGGATGCCTTAGGCAGGGAAAACACTTCATGATTGTGGAAATTACTGTTTTCCCTTGGTTATTCCTACTAGTGTGATTATCAGGAATTTAACTTTATGTTTCTGTTGGCATTCTATTCCACGGGCGAGGATAGAGACCAGTTCCATAAATAATTCAAGAGCATGGAACCACATAGAAAAGATGTGTGAATATATTTTATTTCCCTGAGGACAGAGACAGTCTTATAGTAGGAATGGAGCTGGGTGGTGTCTTTGGAACACCACTCCTTGGAACATTAATGTCCTATTTTCCCATGTAACTGGCATTTATATGAAAGCTTTTAACCCAAAATAATGTCACCTTCAGAAATTTCACTGCCTATTTAGAACCTACTGGCTGAATTTAAAAACATTTTTTTTTTTTTTTCAGCAAAAAGCTGTCTAAAATTTAGGCCTATCTGTTCTCTCTCCTTCCACGCCAGTCACAGCAGATCCCAGAAACTCTTGCCTCAGTAAATGTGATATCTCATGCTTGGGGGGCTCTTTGCCTGTAGTGCAGTCTCGTGCTGCTTTCCGCCCAGCCTTCTGGGACAGCCCTGATTGTATCAGTCTCCTGTTCACCGACTTTCAAAGGATTCCTTCTGCCTTCTGAATTGAGCAGAAATTCAAGATCCTTTACGGTTTGGTTGCATCTTCCTTTGGACACCATTCTCCCAGAGATTCCTTACAAACACTCCTCCATGCTTGCCAGATCCAAGGAGGAGGCTGCCTTGCCTGGCCACAGGCTCTGCTTCTGTCTCCAGGGAGTGCCCTCCATGGGCAGAGTGCTTTTTTGACCCTTACCTGTCAAATCCTACCCACAATTCAGATATTCAAAGGTCAGTTTCATCTTCACGTTTCTTGCCCCCTGGGAGGAGCTTTCCCTCTTCTAAAGCCTTCAACAGAATGAGAGCTCACAGGAGGTGCCCTCCCCCCATTCTATTCTCAGCAGCAGGCTGACCTGCCAAGTAACCTCACACCCTGCAAGCTCCTCCAACCCAGGACTGGGTGGGTGTAGACTCTGTCCAATTTCCTCACACTCCCTTGAATCATCAGTATGTATGTCCCGAATACACTGCACTGTCATGTACAGTCAGCTCACCACACCTTCTGGTTTCCCATCTGTGGACTGAACCAACCCTGATCTTGTACTATATATATAGTTAGACCTAGGAGGGTTGTGTCAGCACTGATCATATAGATTTTTTTGTTATTATTCCAGAACCAATTCAGTGTACAATTATCTACATAGCATTTATATTGCACAGGAAGTATAAGTAATCTAGAGAGGATTTAAAATATACAGAAGGGGGCTGGGGATTTAGCTCAGCGGCACAGCACCTGCCTGGCAAGCGCAAGGTCGTGAGTTCGGTTCCTGGTACCGGAAAAAAACAAAACAAACAAACAAAAAATAAATAAAATATACAGAAGGATGTGTGTAGGTTATATGCAATTATTATACTATTTTATATAAAGGATATGAGCACCCTTAGATTTTGGTATCCAAGGAAATCTTGAAATTAATGCCTTAGAAATAACACAGGCAACAGCATCTGAAAATGGTTTGATAAAAAACTGCTTTGGAACACAAAGGAGAAATACAATGCAAAGCCAGGGAAGCAAAAAGAATTGGGAAAGATTTTGATTCACGCTTCTTGTTTCTGTCCGGCAGCTGTCCAAACAACACTCTAGGACACCAATCTAGCATTTCAAGAGGCGCCCAGCACATTACCAAAATTTCACCCAGTCAACATTTACTGAGTCACTGTTCTTTATTATACTCTGTGCCAGGGACTCAGGTATAAGGATTCATTAGGAATGGTTCCTGTCCTTTGGAAGCTAACAAAACTCAGCGAAAGAGTCTTGTATAAACAAATAGGTTTAACAAGTATGGTAAGGCAGTTTCGAAAAGATAAAATGTTTGTGTGCAGACTTAGTTGATCGTGTATTTGAAAGTCAGGGATGGCTTCTGGAAGGAAGCAACATTTGACCAAGGTCTTAAAGGACAGCAGTGAACTGCTGGGTGGAAAGGGCCACTCTGGGTGGAAAGGACCACTCTGGGCAGAATCAACCCGTGTCCCAGCATGGAAAATGGTATGCAGGGGAGACATTCACAGTGGCTGGAGCACAGGGTTATACCCAGGGGGAGAGGCTCCGGGGTTAAGTGGGGCCTGCCAGTGCAGTCTTCTAACAATGACTTTGCAAAAGTTCATTCTGCAGGCAGCAAGGAACAACGAGGATCCCAAGATGCACCTGATTTCCAGTGATTCTCATTATCTCCCCCATTTTCCTAGCCTAGTGTAGTCCACTCGGGCATACTGTAGGATTGTGTACTTAGAACACAGTGCTTCAGTCGGCTATTCTGACACTTACTTTGAGATATAAATACTTCAAATGCAAAGATATAAATATTCAAGAATAGAGCTTGTTAACCATTCGGTCCCTTTACACCTTTGCTCTCTAACCCTTCGTCTCATCATGGGGGTGGGTAATGACACCAATGTACTTTCTCAAGGAGAAGTGAGGATGAGCACTAGTTACCACTAGAAACTTACTGAGCTGCGATTTTGATGAATTTTTTCACCAGCTGCACTCGCTTGCCCAACTGGCTGCAAAGCAGAATCTCCGTGGCCACCCATAGCTGGACTTCATTGCATCGCTGGAGCAGCAGGCTGAGGTTTACGGTGTGCTCCCCACTTCCCTGTCTGCTGAATGTGAAGTAGATCAGCTCTTGCTGAAAGAAAATGTATTCATTCCAGGGTTTATTTTTAGTGTATCAGGTCAAGCTGACACAAAATTCAGTCCATTTTGAAGAGCTGCCTCAGGAAGCCATCCCCATATCATTAATATGTTAACAGGAAACAGAGCAAATAATAGTATACTAAACTCAAAATGAATATCCTTTAGGTTTAGAGATGCCTTATTCAACAATGTTCACCTAGAATAATTATGTAAAAATATTTTTTTCTGAATGTACAGAAGACAACTTTACATGAGAATCTAAAATATTCTAGAGCTTAAGTTAAGGCTGAATGGAATCCTCAAACTTCCAAAACTTGCTATGTGGAAAACCCAGGTGAAAAAGAGCACTAGCACTGCTAGTATTTGTTAAGGTGCACATCAGACCCAATAGTCACCAAACTTTAGTGTGAACGAGAAAAACCCGGAGGACCGTTGGAAGCTCAGATTGCTGGACTCACCCCTCACTTCTGATGAGCAGGTCTGCGAGGGAGTTGGAAAAACAAGCCTTTCCTTTCCCTTTCTTCCTCCCTCTCTCCCTCCCTCCCGTCTTTCCTTCCCCATCCCTCGCTCTTGCTCTTTTGTCCTTTCTTCCCCTCTTTGTTGTGAAACAGAGTCCCACTATGGTGTGCACACTCATTTTGAACTTGTAGAATGCTACTCCTCTCAAGTAACTGGAACTACACACAGGTGCACACCAGCACGCATGGCTATGAAAATCTGTGATTCTAGCAAGTTTCCAGGTCATGTTGGTCATGTGGCTGGTTAACTGCCCTTTGAAAACCACTGATTGAGAATATAGTAAAAATGAAACGGAAAGGAGCGTAAGATTAAGGGCTGTGTCCAATAGTTTACAAATACAGTCAGGACCACAACTACATCAACAAATGGCAGAATAAATGCAACACATGGTGTTACATGAGGCTATAACATTTTTTATCTCCTTATACCTGTGAGACTTTCCACCAGCCCATTAACTCACTGTTCTTAGCATTTTTCTCTTAATCTATTGTTTAAAATGTGTAATCTATCCTCAAGGGAGAAGTTGTTGGACAGAAGAATTTGAAAATATCCAAAATTTATAAGAAAGTATTTGGAGTCTTATAGCACAGTCTAGATTTATGAAATGTTCATAAGTCAATGGATAAATATGTGTATGTATACATGCACACAGATGATTCTGATATAACTATTATAAACATCATAAAAAACAGAAATATGAATATCAAAGGTAAAATTGTTCTTTAATCTCTGAGTGTATGTATATATGTCATATGCCCATATAAATGTATAAAAACATATAAAAATCCAGCAGATCCATACTAATTTATAATAATAAGCAACATTATACAAACACTAGGAGTAAGTACAGGAGGATCAGATATTCTGATTTCCCTAGGAGAGGGCCAGACTTCCAATATATTTCAAGTCCCCAAATATCTGTTGGACCATGCTATCCTTAGTATAACTACATGACCACATGAATAAATATCTTGAAGCATTTACAGTTAAAATAGCATTAATGCTTTTAATCTTTTCATTCCCTACTTACCTCATGAATTGAATTGAAGAGACTCCAATCAAAATTCATTAATTCCAGAGCAAGATCCCAAGTGTTCATTCCCAAAATCCTCATAGACCTTTGCTGTGATTCCTCATTTTCTGCAAAGGGATTCTAAACCGACAGGAGCAAAAGGATCCTTAGTAAGCCCAGAATGTTTTACAGACCAGCAGCTGCCTGTGGAAAGGCACTAGCAGCCTAGATTAGAAAAGTAATCTTTCCCAGGTGCACTTAATATTCTCCCTGGTCTGTTCACCATCAGTGAGTTAGAGCCAATTTAGGAACTAGTCTTGGAAACAGGAGAATGTGATCAATGATATTTCACTGAATTAGCCAGCCCGTCCCCCCTCAAGCTCACACCCACCCACCCACCTACAAATCTGATTATAAAACACTGCCCTGACAGACAGCATAATGAAAGCCAAAGCTCTGAAATCACTTTGGCTTCTGGTAAGAATTAATGTGCCAGCAGGGTTAGTATAAAAACAAACAAAAGAAATGTCACAATGCACTTCAATGAAGACAGACATGGCTTTTACAGGAAATATGTCTAATATGTCTCACCCCAGACACATATTTACAAATTTTATTAAAATGCCCATGGAAAGTGAAAAAATTTCACATGACAGAAAAAAAGGAAAGCTATTTCATTTATACCCCACAGCAGCTGGTCAGTATCGATTGCCCTCCTCACATAAATGGAGCCTCGTCGCCATGGGGCTGGTAACAGCACTTCCTCAAAAATGCGACGTGAAAGTATTAAATGCCAGCACAGCTCTAAATCTATCATCACTGTTAAAGTTATTAAAAAATAATTTGGCACTTTTCCAAAGTACTTGATATTTTCTAATTAAAATATAAATTCTCCTGTTTGAAGGACTGGATTTGAATAATTAATGACTGAAAGGCAAAAAAGAATGGGGTTTTGCAAAAAATAAATGGCACGATAGGATAAAGGGGTCATATCTCAGCTGCCACACAGCAATCCCCGCTTCTAACCTGAAAGATAAGTCATTTGCATTTTAGAAGTTTCTCGCTAATGAAAAAATTTCCTAATTCTAAAAACTAATGACAAAAGACTTTCAGAGAGCTTTCCTGTAGAACTGATATTCCTCAGGGCAGGTCTGGGCACAAACTGCCTCTGCGTTCTCCGTGTGATTACAGTACATGTACAACAGGAGCCAGCCAGGAAGACCCACCCCATGAGGAATCCATGGGAGGGCGGAGAAGACGACCCTGAGTCTAGCAGACTGGACCCCACTGTTAGAATCTGCTCCTTCCAGATGCTGATGGATCTAGACAGGGCCTATCTTGCAGAAAGCAACCACAAGACTGAGTCCTTAAGTAGAAAAATAGCAAACAAGGTCCACTCAAGCATAACTATTCCTCAAATTTCAATTGAAAATAACCTGAAGGATGGGCTCCACATTTCATCAAACTCCAAAGACACATCAGATGCCCCAGGGTTGTGATCTCATCTTAGACAGGGAAAGCTGATAATCCTCTCTTTCTTCAGGGACAGGGAACATCCAGAGTGCATCAACCAGAATGGGTCTCTTTCCCCTCAAACCTACCTACGGTGCCTTCCTCAGCCTAATCTCCATACGTACAACAAAAAGAAGAAACTGAATTAAAATTCTCGGAGAAGGAGTCCTTTGTATCAAACCTCCTATTTCAGGAACTCAGAAGGAAGCAAGGATAGCTGGGCATAGTTACACATCCCTGTAATTCCAGCACTCTGGAAGGGTGAGGCAAGAGGATCCAGAGTTTGAGCTCGGCCTTGGCTGGTTAGTAACCTTGACAGGTTAGTAACCTGTCAGTAACCTTGACAGGTTAGTAACCTGTCCCAAAAAATAAATACAATGCAATACAATACAGTACAATACAATACAGTAGAAGGTCAGGGGATGTAACTCATCCACATATATGCACTGATCCTGTTGTCTGTGTATTCTAACCACTAGGTCAGAGATCCTTACCAAGGTGTCCGCCAGGTCCTTCCGGTAGACATATATCCTACCAGACGCTTCAAGGGATTTGGAGATGGCCAAGTCATTTGACTGAAGCTCATGCTTTTCTTTAATCACCAAAAAAAGAAAAAAAGTTTGAACAGTAAGAAACATAAGCAGGGCTACACAGTACACAGAGCAAAACTTGCACAAGAAAAGTGTTGAAGAGCACAGTAACTAGGATGATTTGTTTATTTATTTATTTATTTTTGTCCGTTTTTTGAGACAGGGTCTCACTATGCAGTTCACGCTGGCCTTGAGCTCACTTTGTAGCCCAGGCTGGTCTCAAACGCACAACAATCCTCCTGCCTCAGCCTCCCGAGTGCTGGGATTACAGGCGTGCGTCACCACGCCCAGCAGTAACTAGGATTCAAATGCAAGTAACTCAGTTCTGCACACTATTCGACAATGCTAATGGTACCCTGGACATCGCTGCTTGGCACCCACAGAGTGAAGCCCTCTTGAGGCTTCTGTAACATTTAATCATTCTTTAGAGTGACAGGTTAAGGAAGAAAGCAAATTTACCCCTAATCCCATCTTTCCAAAATAACCATACATAAATAATTGCAATTACGTATATGCATGCATTCGTAATTGTTCATACACATACAAACATTTGCAATCTCTCCAGGTATGGCATTATATTCTACTTCATTATAGGCACTTGCCCACTTATCAAAATTATTTATATGGATCATGGTTAATTGGTTATGAGCAGTCTATTATGCCATCATTCAATCTTTTCTCTATTGTTGGACATTTAATGGCTTCTCATTGTTTTGGTTGTATTAGCTAAACAGCATGATGTATGTTAAATACTAACTAGCACAGGCTGGGCATATAACAAGTATTTGATAAATGCGTTCTATCATTGTAGTGGCCATACTGTATACTGCTGAAGTCAGTATTTTTGTGCATAACTCCTTATCTGCTTATAGATGATATTCTTAAGACAAACTCCCAATCTTGAAATTACTGGGTCAAGAGGAATGAATAATTTTAAAGTTTTGGAAATAGTGTTTTCCAATTGTTCTTTCTTAGAAAATAAATTAATACATCTTCCCAAAAGTGAGCAGAAAACTTGCACAAAATTCTCTGTACATTTTATATTTCTTTTTTTAAACCGGGAATTGAGGAGCCAGCGATGGTGCTGTGCACCTGTAATCTCAGCACGTGAGAGGCTGAAGCAGAAGGATCAACGTGAGTTCGAGGCCAGCCTGGGCTACTTAGTGAGTTCAGCCTGCACTATAACGTGAGACTCTGTCTCAAAAAACCATAAATAAGTAAGTAAATAAATAAGTAAGTAAATAAATAAATAAGGAATTGAACTCAGGTACTTTGCACTGAGCTATTCTCAGTCCTTTTTTATTCGGCTACTCATTGAGTTGCTAAATTGGCTAGGGTGCACTTGAACTTGCAATCCTGCCTCAGCCTTCCAGAGTGCAGGGATTTCAGGTTTGAACCCTTATACCTGGTTCTATTTTGTATTTCTTGTCCATTAGTGAGGTTAATTATTTTTTGCATAGTCCTCTTTTTTGTTTGTTTTGTTTTTGTCTTGTTGGAGACAGGGTTTCACTATGTAGTTCAGAATGGCCTTGAACTCACTATGTAGCCAAGGCTGGCCTTGAACTTGCAGCAATCCTCCTGCCTCAGCCTCCCAAGTTCTGGGGTTACAGGTGTGTGCTACCACCCCTGGCCTTGCATATTCCTCTTCTATTTCACTTCTCTTACTGCACAATGTACCTATCCTTTGATTTTTTTTTTAAAGCTAGTTGAAACCCTTTAATAATATAGTAGCTTTCCTTACAGAAGATGCTCTCCTCCAAAGTACAAAATGCATACAGGAATACTCTAAAGTAAATCTAGAGTTTATTCCACTGTGACATAATCAAGTTCTCCTATGGCAGCCTTCAGTAACCCAGTGTGATTGGGAAATGCAATATTCCACATACCTTTGACACAGTCACGACATAGAAAACACTACAGGAACACAGCACACACACAACAAAAACAAAAACCCAACCTCCCGGACCCTTAACCTGCTACTCATTAGAAGCATGATTCGTGTCTATTCCTAACACAGACCTAAAAGTGATTTTTGCTAAGATCTGTGACTCTTCACTTGGCCCAATAGGTAAAAGTATAACAAAGCTTGACCTTCACTCTGTGAAAGTCTGGGCCACGTCCTGAAGTGTTGGTCTAAAAGTTGGGAAAACAAGTTTATTGGCCCCAAACTTACTTAACCTGTCTTATTACCCTTTACGATCAAGAGCACTTATTCCAGGCAGTCTCCCCTGTCCTAAGCCTCTGGTCACCTTTGTCCTAAGCCTCTGGTCACCTTGGATTCCTGCAGAGCCCCACATGACTGGGACTGCCTCAGGTCACGAAGATTCCTCGCATGGGAACCCCCACTGCCCCTTGCATCTGAGGGTTCACTCTGAGACTGGTTTAAATCCCTGTAGTCCCTGCCCCCCATCCCAATCAACAGCACAACAGTGTTGGGCTGTGGACATCTGTGGTCAATGTCCCCACATAGCTGGATTCTGAAGTTTTTTCAGGTTTATTAACATACTATAAAAGACTGAAGTTAAATTTTAGCCTCTGAATAAATGGGTAGGAGAAAAAAAAAAAAAAAAAAACGGGCGTGGTGGAGCATGCCTATAATCTCAGCACTTGGGAGGCTGAGGCCAGAGGATCGTCGTGAGTTCAAGACCAGCCTGAGCTACAAAGTGAGCTCAAGGTCAGCCTGAACTGCATAGCAAGACCCTGCCTCAAAAAAAAAAAAAAAAAAAAAAAAAAGTGGGTGGGTTACTGTTGTGATATACCATACACGTACCTACCCTTACAAAAGTGCCAGAAAACTACTAACTATGCGAATAGTTCTCCTTCTTTTAGAAAAATCCACAAAACCTCGAACATTTCCAACTTTAAACCCTTTTTGAGAAAAAGAATAGATCTCATCATTTCATTCTGAAGTAGTAGTGAAATATTACTTGTGAAAAATTATGTAACTAGAACGAGGAATACATTAAGCTCTGTTTTAATTTTCTTTAATTAAAACATTGCTTTTGGAGATAATAAAATGCAGGCAGAAAGGCTCTTTATAGACCCCCCTCCCCAAAAGGGCAACCTAATGCATGGAAGATGATGGCACGTTTCCAGATTCGTGGGATAATTCAGGAGATAAGCTGATATTTCCCATGCTGATTAGCAATGGATCTATATACATTAGAATACATGGCCCACCCTGATGAATCTAATTTAATGGAGCATGAAAATGGTACTTTGCAGCCATCAGATAGATACTGGGTAGTGAAACAGCCATGCTTAAGTTGCCTGATTCTGAGTGGCCCTGGGCTAAATGAAAATTAGGTCCTTAGGGACACAGGTCTTGGTTGCATTGCGCAGTTTACACGAGCCCCTTCCTTCTCAGCACCTCTGAGCTCAGCAGGGACCCAGTGGTCGCCATCTGCAGTAGTACTACCTTGAGAGACACATGTTGGCTTTGATGAAGGTCAATACTGTTTAAAATTATTTAATGTTTCTGATCACTCAAAAATTAAGTATAAAATCCACTTATCCTATTGTTCTGAAATATCTGAAATAGATTATTAAAAATTTAACAACTTCCTGATCAAAATACATCAGGTGTAAATGTTTCTCATATTTTTGCCTCACATTTGCTTAACCATCTGCTCTACCACTGAGCTACACCCCGCTCCCTGAATAACCCTTGATAGGATGTACAAGGAGAGTTCTTTGGCCTGAGGAGAAGGGCTCTGTCTACACACGAAATCCATGTGCTTGCAGGACCATTCTACCTGCCTGTGAGTAACAAAGCAAGAGGGGCAAAATTCTGTTACATAATATTGTAGTGTGGAATATATTCTGGGATGCATCTTCCCCTATAGCATAAAAAGAGTGGCACCATCTGTCTCCCCTCTCCCCTCCCAGGTTGATTAATTCACACAGTACTTCTTCCATTTGTCCACTACCTATGCTCCGCCACTTTCTTGGTATTTTCCTCAGGGTTAATGAGACATTAAACAAAGATTGTGAGCCAAAAAGGAGGCCAACAACATTGAAATCTGACAGGCCCCGGTGAAAACGAAGGGGTCTGTTCAGGCTGCACAGATCAATAGTGTCAGCTTGTAATCTGTGTGATCTTATTCAAAACAGACAATAAACCTTTCTCTGAGGATGAATAAGGCCCAGTGGAAGGACAGCTTTCACCAGTTCTCACTCTCCATGTCCACCTGGAGGAACACTGGCCCGTGAGCTTTGGCTCATTGTACATTTCCCTTTCTTCCAGTGGGGAGTCTATGTATTAAACTGTCAGCCAGCAATATGACTAGTTCAAGGCCATCTTTCTTCTTCTTTTTTTTTCCTCCCCAGTAATTTCATCCTTTAGCAATTTCCCAAGTTCATTTAAATATGAAAATGGAAGGCTTATCTAGAGTGCAAAACACAAAAATGCTTTATAATGCTATAATGCATTTCCAAACACTGGCATGCCTCTCTCTTCAGTTCTTGGGGAGGAAATTCAGTATCCAGCGGTACCCCACTGTTGTCATGGAAACACCTCTGGTAGGCAGCTTCTTATTGTTACTGTGGTCATCCAGCTGCGGGCTCAGAAGGAAGGAGCACTACAGTTCTAAAAAAATGTCAACTTTCTCTTTTTGGAGGTGACCCGGTGAAAGAACAATATTCAAAAACAGAAAATAACTTACCCCCAGAGAATGTGATAGCCACCAGAGCCAGATCCTCTTCTGTATGTTGGATTTTTTCCGCTACGACCTTCAGGATCTCCTGGGCTGTACTGGAAACCTTTGCCTTCACACTGACATAGGAGTGCTCCGTTATGTATACATGGCAAAAAACTACAAAAGTCAAAAGAACTGTTTATAAGCAGGGAAGTCTGGTCATTTGGTGCAGACTATACCAAACTGAGGTATCCACCTTGCTATTCTCTTTAATACAGAGAATATGCAACTAGATCTACACATTCACGTAGGCACACGAGGGACAGAGGTATCTGCCTATGAATGTCACCTGCCAACACAGGAGATGCAGATGCTACAAAGCTGGCAAAAAGGCATGTGTGGTAGACGGGCTGCACATACGGTACAGGAGAATGAGTCACAGCAGTGTGTGCTCCTGGCCATAACACAGCGGAAACCCTGCTACACAGACTGTACTTCTGAATCTTTCTTTAAGAACTGCTGAGATCTCCCACAGCAGCATATTAAAGTGTCTAACTCATAAATTTTTATTTTACACTCCATTTCAGGGCAGTCTCAGCGGCCCAATCAAGAACAGTGCACTTGCTATTAGAATTCTCATGAACATAGCTAAAAATCTGTCACCTGCCTAGTTTTTCTGGTTAGCTTTCTCAGTCATCATTTAAGAATGACATCCCTGCCCTCACACTGAAGTGGTGATGAGTTTACTTTCCAAATGGAGTTCACGTTTCTAGGCTTTTTAATTTCCTTTCTATTGTTTGTGATAATAATTACTACTAGGACATTACCACTACTAGGATGAATAGGTCCTGGAAAAATTTTTCTTTTTGATTTGAATAGCAAAAACTGTCTTTGTAACACTGGACATCACTGACACCTTGCTTCTTATATCAGCTACTCTGAATGTTTAGAACACCAGCTGCTTTAGAATAAACAGAAGGACAACAGCACACTTAGATACTGTTCTTTTGCATTGTAAAAAAATTGAGGGAGGAGTACAGTTCTTAGAGAAATTTTATTGGCACTACAAAATAAACCCAAAAATGGTTTCACAGAAATGCAAAAAAAAACAAAAGCATAGCCATGAGTTGATATGTACAGAACCTCAAAGTAAACACACTATTGGGAGGTAGTTGACAGATTTTGCTTGGTTTCATTGGGTATATCCCTAAAACAATAGCTTCTACCAAATAATTATTTTATAGTTTGTCAAGAGACTTGTGAGATAGAAAAAAAAAAAGATTTTTCTCCTTCTATATAAAGACGCAATTTTTGAGCCAGGTGAAAGTCCAGCCTACAGAGAACTAAATGTAGGGTAAATCTGTAGCTTGCTTAATAGACTGATGAACAAAAAAAGCCCAGGGGCCTTAAAATACTTAGCCTCTTCCAAGCTCAGCTTGGAAAACAATACAATTAAATTATAAGATAAATGGGCAGGAAAGGTCAGCGATTAACAAATTAGGGGGTAAGGTAATTTTGTTTCCTCTTTCATTGGGGTAGATGACTTAATATGACACAGCAGAAACCCGTCCATCAGCAGTGCTGTGTATAAATATCACAAAGGAGGAAGGCAAGCTTGTGATGTTTTGTATTTTTAATGATCAAAAAGTTGTGCAAATATCAAATGCTTGCACTTTAAATTTCAACGCATGGAGAAAGGTGAGTCAAAAGAGAATCTCAAATCCACACTAGCATAAACAGTTTTTTAATTGACTATTTTCCACCTTTGCCTTTGACTCAGTCTTTATCCAACTAGGAGGAAACCATGGCCATCCTCTTGGTTCTGGTGTAAATATTCACACTGCAAAGCACACCAGCACCTGAAGCTGGTAAAACAGCCTCTCCCGTGTACTGAATGAATGGGCTGTCTTCCCTGGAGGCCAGGATCCCTCTCTGCTAACAAGCGGGGAGTGAGGAACAAGGATGCACTGGAAATGCGGCTGCCGGGTACTGCCCGACCTTGGAGGAATTTCTACCACACACCCTTCCTTTCATTATTCTCTCCAAGATTTCCTTCTCTAAATCTCAGGGACTGAATGCTGCCGAAGCCCTGAACACTGGCTTTGGTGGCTTTTCCACTTAGCTGTACGCAAAGGGCTGTCAGAGCTGGGAGGTTGGAAAGAAGCTTCAGAGGGGACAAGGCTGAGTTTCTGGTTTCTTTCACACCTCCTCCCTAGAACACAAGAGGGCTCTTTGCATCCTCTCCTTCCCTCGCTTCCCGAACTAAATATACTCTTGGTTGTGGGGACAGTATTATAAAACCTAAGATGACAGTCTCAAAGCAAGAAAAGGAAAACTGTCGTATGTGACACTAAATGTCTGTCAGAGTGGGAAGACAGTGAGAAATGACAGCCAAAGAGTCCACCTACCCCAAACCTTGCTTAAAATCCTACTCACTTTCCTCTGTTTCCGCCACAGTTGCTCTATGCTGGAGCCAGTTCTCCTTCAGACTGAATTGGTGGAAAAGGGCTTTATTCTGTGAGAAGGGAGAAAGAGAACAATAAATGAATGCATTGCTGCCCTTTGGAAAACCATAGCTGCTCACAACATGTTCCGAAAGAGCTAGCCAATTACAAAAAAAATGAAATCCACCCATCCAGTCTTACTTACTGGGAGTAGCCTCAATTGATAAATGGGGAGGTGGAGATTCTGGGCAAAGTATGGAACCTGGCCAAGGTCAGTAGCGGACAAAAAGCATCTGTAATGATTCTCTCCCACATGCCAGAGAAAACCCCCGCATTTCTCACCTCTGGCTGCTGCAAACATCCCCAGATTCTCCTAAGACATAGTTTCTCCAAGCCAATATTATCCTCCAAGTCACAGTTACCACAGCCTGAGATTCTGCTTTTTACATGTGCCACAGAAGCAATTCTGTGAAATCCTTTCGTAGTCCTAATGTAGTACATGACCTTTCTTACAAGAAATGGGTGCACTGGGGCCGGGGGAATAGCTCAGCCGCACAGTGCCTGCCTGGCAAGTGCGAGGTTGTGAATTTGCTTCCCAGTACAAAAAGAAAAAAAGAAAAAAAAATGGTGCATTGTTCATTGCGATTACCCATCTTCTACAAACTTGGGCCTGACATTGCATTCTGTATTTCCCCCTTATCAAATTAAAAGGAACATATTCACGCTTGCTACCATCACTCTTTCTGTCATGTTGAGAGTACAATCTTTTCCTAACTTAAATTTCTTACACTTTGAGTCAAGATTCTTACTTAGATTTTTGGCATAAACTTCATAAAACTCAAATTTTTATGAGTCTAGACACAGCAGGGAAGATCCAAGACTTCAAAATGCACCACAAAATCTGTATAACACAAAGTCAAGGGTATGTTGGTAAAATCAGATATGCACCACACAGGGAAACTGCAGCAGAGCAAGAAAGTACAGCCAGCTTCAGCCCCAGGCTCCCTACTTTGCCTTGCAATGCTCTAGGCAGATTCATTTTAATTATGAAGAAATGCCAACTCAGGCAAGGCAAGGTTTCCAAACCAGATAGCCCCATTTCAGATACAGAAGGGTCTGCCTACCTTCCTTTGTGGTGAATATTCATCCACAGTGCTGAAAAGAAAAAGTTAAGGAGTTAGTCTTTTTCTCAAACTCAGAATGATGCTATTTATTGTAATGGAAGACTAATTTTCAGGCAATGCACAGAAGACTTTCTTCTTTAAAAAAAGGTAAAACACCTGCTGCTTAGGAAGCTGAGGCGAAGGTATGATGACTTTGAGTCCTGCCTGGATAACTCAGTGAGATCCTGTCTCAAAGTAAAAGCATAAATGTGAAGGAGTGGAAATGTAGCTCAGTGCTGGAGTGTTTGTCTCCCATGTGTAAGGACTTGGGTCACTACCCACCAACACACACACACACACAAACAAAACACAGTATCACTAATTTACTATATATAGCACACTTGACATTGGGCTTTGAATTTCAAAAAAACCAGGAAGAAAAGAAGCTACCTATTCAGCTACCTATTATGCTTTCTTCCCACAAAAACTAAAGTCGAGAATTGATGGAAAAACTGGATGTATTATGTCCATGGAAACTCAGTCCACAGAAATTAGACAGTTTTTTTTTTTTTGTAGCAATATTTTTTTTTTGAGTAGCAATATTTAGTATACGGAAATGTTTTTCTCACACAGTGGAGGATTTTAGGTGAAATTATTATTTAGAAAGCTAAATAATTCAGCATTTTCAGCATTTTCCAGGGTATTTCTGCATGTGGCAGAAATGGAGAATATCCTGCAGGTCCTGTCCTTGATCAGAGACGACTCCCACTGCTAAGTACCTTCTGAAGGCCTCTTCCACTTGTGCTGGAACTTGCCCTGGGGCCATTTCATACATCATTACGTTAACCACAAATTGCAGACACCTAATCAGAAAAAAACCACTTCCTCTTCTATTCCTACAGTGGGGCTAGGCAAAAATGTGAAGAACAAAACATCTGAGTTTCAAATTTTCTTCTAGAATATAAGAGGATTCCATAATCTTATATCAAAAAAGGAAGGATCATGCAATCATGCCTTTTTTTTTAACAGTACAGGCAATTGAAACCTGGGCCTCTTGAAAACTAGGCACCTGCTCTATCACATAATTACATCCTTAGCTCAATCATTTCTTAATGTAATTTTATTTTAATCTAGTATTTCTCAATCTAAGTTTTCAACAGAATGTATGAAATTCTACCAATGTATTTAATGCATAAGTGTGACTTATAGCATAAAGCAACTTTCACGTGAGAGGTGATTTTGATTTAAATGTTGTCTTTCCTCCCTGTTTTTTGCTTCATATTAATATACTTTCACATTAGCCTTAAGTTATGGATATTTAATATACTGCAGACTGTAGCAAAAGATGACCATAACACATAACATTCATTTCTAACTGCTCTCTACTTTGCGGGTGATTTTTAAATGTCTAAACGTGTAATTTTAAAGCCGGGTGTGGTGGTGCACGCTTGTTATCCCAGCACTCGGAAGGCTGAGGCAGGAGGATCATTGTGAATTTGAGACCAGCCTGGGCCACAAAGTGAGCTCAAGGCCAGCCTGAACTGCATAGTGAGACCCTGTCTCAAAAAGAAAAAAAAAAAAAAAAAAAAAGTGCAATTTTGATGAATGTGAACTAAAACTTATAAATGGTTTGTTTTCTCCCTTAGATTTTTACTTTGCAACAAGGACTCTCTTTACTAAAATTAAATAAGGACTTAAAGCTCAAATCAGTAATCTGAAAGGGCTGAATTAGCATTTTTTCTGAGAACCGCATTTATGACTACTGACATCATAACAAAAGCTTTCCCAATTAGTATACACTAGTACACTGCAAATCACAGAACAACGTTCCCTCAGATGAACTCTTTAAACTATATCTGAAAACCAAATAAAGGCTTAATGTTTTCAGTTACTAAAACTAAGAAGGAGTGTCAGCGGTAAAACCAAGCAAAATCATGTGCAGTGAAGCTGCAAGATTAATGAGTGTTATTTATGGGATGCTTGGACCTGCGAAGAGTCAGTAAGTTAATGACTTTCTTTAATCTTTCCAAATTGATAAGAAATCTCAGGGAACTCATAAAATTGAGTTTTTGAAATGTTCCATGACTCACTAGGACTTACTCATAAACTTTTTTTTTCCCTTTTCCATAGATAAAACTATAAGCCCCCAAATGATAAGCTAAATATGTAGGCTTAAATAATAATCTATTAAATAATTGTTTTTATACATGCGGGTAGTTATGGTCCAGTTTATTTAAACCATGTAAAACAGAATTCAATAAGCTTGATGTAGTGTTCTTTCATTTTGAGATCTAAAAATACACAATTTACTAAGGAAGCAAGATGAATCCCAGAGTCAAAAATGTTCCAAACCCCTGAGGGGAGCGGTGCCAGCCTGTGATCCCAGCATTCTGGGAGGCTGAAGCAGAAGGACTGCAAGTTCTGGTGCAGCCAGGGCAATTTAGTCACATCCTTCCTGTCTCATAAAATAAAAGGGACTCGGTATATACCATTGTGCAAAGGTTCTGGGTTCAATCCCAACTACTGCAAAAATCAAAACAAAAGAGGAAAAAAACCCAAAATATTCAAAATCAATTTTATGCAAGATATTCCAGTAAGAAAAATTAAATACTTACTGACGACGATGCATTCCAAGAATCTTTTGAAATTCTTTTAACTCTTTTTCAAGTATTGGATATTCATAGACATCATCCAGTACATTCCTATATATGGTCTGGAAAAGACAAACAGCAGCTGAAATAGTTTACTGTCCGTTTGGTAAGGGTTAACATTATGACAGTGCTGGGATTTTAGCTTTTGGTAGAGCATGTGTGTAGCATGTGTGAAGTCCAGGGTTCAATCCTCAGAACCACTGCCAACAAAAGACTCAGATATCAGCTATCCCACTCAATGAAATACGGTGCAGTCCATGACAATCTATGGGTTGAATCTTAGCCACTCAATCAACTGCTTAAGGTGCTTTAGGTAGGAAATGCCAAAAACAGAGATCTTACTGCCTACTCAAAATGTCTATGACAGTTGGTCACAGGGGCGCACGCCTATGATCCCAGCACTTGAGAAGCTGAGGCAGGAGGAGTGCCATGAGTTGAGGACAACCTGGGCTACATAGTGAGCTCAAGGCTAGAATGAACTAGATAGCAAGACCCCATTTCAAAAAAGAAAAAAATCTATGCCTACTTTATATCTTAAAAAATAATATCCACATAACCATTGGGAAAAAAAATATTAATTAATCAGCTGTTTTGAAAATAAGGAGTTCAGGCAAAATGTTGGTTAAACCAGTTTTAAACTAGATGTCTAAACATTACATTCAAAGTAATTTCCTTCATGAAAGATAGCAGCAGTTTAGGCACTTGCTTATTCTGAAATAGATCTCCTCGGAGATAGAACTCCATTCTAGCCTTTCTATTAATCTGCATATCACTATGGTTTTGGGGTCAAAGGACTTCTGTCTAACCAAGACAACTGCCTGAGTTAAAAAGATATTGCAGCCTATTAATAATTAGATAAATGAATCAATGTGTTTAATTTGAAATGTAAATTTTTTACAAATCATTGCTTAAAATTCTCAAAATATATCATGTTCTTAGGTTACATACTATATGTGGTCAATGTAATTTTCTTCTTCTTCTTCTTTTTGTTTGTTGTACTGGGGATTGAACCCTGGGCTTTCACCCCCCCTACTTTTCAGAAACAGGGTCTTATTAAGTCTTTAAATTACCCAAGATGGGCTCGAACTCATAATTCTCCCGCTTTAGGTTTCCAGAGTGCTGGGATTACAGGTGTGCATACCTGGCTGGTTAATATAGTTTTTAAATGATAATGCTTTATACAAATATTGTATATGTATATAAGACTGGATAGTTTAAAGCTATACTAAATCTCAATCTATTAAGTAGTATCAAAATTTGAAGTATATCTTTGCAATCGAAACTCTCTTGGCTCAAGTTAGTAAGTATAAACATTTCCTTCCATATTTTTTCATAGTAAAACATTTAAAATTTTTAAAAAGCTGCCTATGTGGGGGAAAGTAAAATTTAAATATTTAGGGACTATCAGGCCTCAGGACAAAAAAGTGCATTTACACTTTTTCCAAATTGCAACTTGACCATCAAAAAAAGTTGAATGACTTATCTACAAATGACAGTGTGAAATGTGTAACTGAAATAAAACCATCACTTGGCATCAGACTCTCTGGAAGCCTTAGGTTACCTTTAAAAACATTTTTGAGTGTTCATCTTCATGAAGCCAGTCTTTGTACAGAGCAATCCACTGAGAAACCAGATGCAAGACTTTACGTTTCCTACAAGGAACATCTGAATTTTCTTCCTTGCCTTGATACTTTTTAGCAGAATAGGTGCAATCGGTTAAGAAAGAACATTATGTTGTTGGAATAAAAAAACCCACAAAGAGACCCACTTATTCTAGTTTTACAAAACAGGCAAAAGCATCTATTTTCCACAAAGGAGGAAGAGAACACACACAGTGAGAGGAAAAGGTGTGCACTGAAAAGAACAAAAGCAAACTGACAAAATGACTGAAGTATCCTCAGCTGGAGGCCCTGGAGTTAAGGGCTGGACCATCACACTGGCAGCTGCTGACAAAGTCCCACAGGCAGCGTGGGATTAATGTCAGTTCAAAGAGATACTGGGTGGCTTCTGGAGACGATGTGGAATCCCTACATAGGTGAACGCTGTTCACAGTTGTACGGATCAAAAGGAGGCCAAATATTCTTTGATTATCAGAGATACACATTTTGTAAAAAAAAAAAAAAAAGCAGTTATTTCTGAAGTAGTTCTAAATGAGCACAGATTTCTGGAGCGTAATTTGTGATACGATTCGACACTCCATTTCTAGGAATTTACTTGGAAGACAGAACTGAGTAAATGTGCAAACACGTAAGTGGAAAGGACTACTAATTTTCATCTTCATTAAATTAAAAAAATAAAATAATCTCAATGCTTCAGCAAGTGAGATAAGGTAACTAAATTATTACATATCCATTTAGCAGACTACAGTATCGCCATAAAAATAATTTGCCTAGTAGTACATACACTGACACAGAACACTCACAAACTATTGCTGTGCAGAAAAGCAAGTAGAAAAGAGTATGTTAGAATGGTCCATTTCTGTTAACAATGCTTATGTGAATAATAAAATTATCTGGAAGGATATAGAGATGGTTAACAGTGGCTTTTCAATGTAATGGGATTTGAGAATGTATGAATTCTTTTACTTATTAGAATTTTCTAATTTGTATACAATGAGCATGTATTAACTATGCTATTTAAATGACTACGAATGAAAGAGGAGCTAAATTAATCTTTTTCTCTCCAAAATGATAACCTTGAACACATGGGAAAGTTAACTGAGCATAGGAAACACTAGGATATTAAACACACAGGTCTTGGGTTTGTTCAATTATATATTCCTTAATGCAGATAAATAATTGCAAAGTAGGAATAAATTATACAGAGGCTTTGTGAGTATTTTAAACATAATTCAGTCACTTTCACCTTATCCTGAAAGAATAGACAGTGGCTATCTTTAAGTTCTACCTGTGAAATGGAACAAGGCCCCCAAAATTCTATTCAAGCATCTTTTTCTTCCAGATTTTCTCTTGAAACATAAAATGTGAAGATTTATTAGTTCTATTTCTGTAAACATTCTTGTTCTTTTCTTATAAATATAATGGGTTCATAAATATAAAGAAAAAGCAGGAAAAGAAGAAATGCCAACAACTTCATTTTTTTAGGTAAGTATACATAAGTGAAGATACAAGCTTTTTATTCAGACTGCAAAGGTGCTACAATTATAGGCCAGCAGAATAAAGCAGCTTCACAGAACCACCATTTTTCCATATTCATAGTTACTAACATTTATTTGCTTAACAGTGTTCTTTCCTCTCTCCAAGATATATATTTTAAAATATTTATTGATTAAACTTGCATTTGCATTATTCTGCTTTCCTATATTAGACTCTTCTATATTTTATCCATGCAAAACTACACTGATTTATAAATTTAGCTAGGGGTAGGGATACTCAGAAGGCACTGGGAGAGATACAACTTCTGTGTAATGCACTGAATATTAGCTGGCCCAGGGCTATGAGCTTAAATAATGTGCTTTATGATGAGAAAAGCTAAAAGCTTTTGAATTCTATTGCAATAAAAAATACTTATCTAAAATATCTAAACCCAGCACAAATGGTGCTAATCTATAAATAATGTTTAAAAACCATCAGAAAAAACAATAGTGGGCTATGAAAGAAATTATCACTAAGATGTACACAAAATATTTCACAAGGAATATGGCTGTCAAAGGTTTGTCTGAGGTTTGTACAATTTCACAGAAAGCAGAGTGTGCAAAAAAAAAATGAAATGATCATGTAGAAAAACTCATGGTTTGAACTGTCCTGGGTTTTTGGTAATCAATAAAAAGACTGCTAAAATTCTGAACTAAATTTTCAAATTAAATTTCATATTCAAAGACTCAAACATATTTATAGCCAAGAAAACTCTGAAAGATTTTTTAGGAACATCCTCTGAGACATTAAATTTTAAATGATAATTAAAAATAATATTAAGATCATAGTTAAAGGTAATTAATAGTTGGAAGGCTATAAAAACACTATATTAATGGATGGTAGTTATTTACAAATATGTTAGCATTAAAACATAGGTTAAATTAGCTTACAGATATTTTTATCAAACACTTCTGAAGAGGGAAAAATTCAAAACCTCTTTTAATTATTGCTAAATTTCTTAGCAATATTCCACTTCAAAACTGTAGAAGAAGTCTGCACATATTATCGAAACTTTCCAAATGCAAAATTAGTAACATTTCAAGATCTGTTCAATAAGCCAATTTCAACAAGTATAAAAATATCTATAGCTTGGCTTGGTCATAGGATATAATAAAGCACTAAAATGCAATCACCATTTCTAATATATATATATATATGTATTTGGTGGGGGGGATTCTTTTTGAGACAGAGTTTTGCTATGAAGTTCAGGCTGGCCGTGAACTCACTTTGTAGCCCATGCTGGCCTCGAACTCATAGTAATCATGCTGCTTCAGCCTCCCAAGTGCTGGGATTACAGGTGTGCACCATCATGGCCAGCTAGTTTACATATTTTTAAAGACTAATTTACTTTATGTATTTCAGGGAGTTTTACAGCATTCTTTTAGGGAGAAAAATGCTATAGAGTTTGGAGATACGTAATGATTATTTAAAAGGAAAACTATAGTAAATGACTATTATCAATAGGTCTTCATAAAACTGGCATATGCAAAAAATCTATTCACTTTAACATTTTTATGCAAGTTGGAATGAAATGTTCTGTTTGATTTATAAAAACATGAGTGCTTTACTAAATGCTTAAATTTTTAATTAATTAAATTTTACCTTTAACAAAATTATCAATTAAATTTATTAAATACTTAGATGATGTCAAAGCATATCTTTAAGCACTGTGAAGCAAGAGGCCCACTTGGACATGTTTAGCAAGTGGTTTGGCTTTGCTCTCTGGCCTTTCATTGTTTCCACTGGCATTGCTTCTAGTTAGTGGGTAAGATTATAAGACTTGCCCAGCTGGTCAGTAACCTTCTAGTCACATCCATTATTTTAAGAGGACATACAAAGACAAAGCTGTGAAAAGATGACACTTGGTTCCAGAGGCAAGTTTAGACTTCCTGTGTGGGGGAATAATAGCTCATGTACCCAGGGACACTTTCCCAGGAACGTGATATCACATATGTACCTAAGTTTTTGTGCATAAGTGGTCTGACTCTTACCAGTTCTCCTCTGAAGCCACTGTGTGTGATACAGTACCAATCCACACTCAACCTCTTGACTCTGAGGTTTACCAGAAGGCCAATTTTACCTCCAGATCTCTAGACAATCATAAAAAACAGATTTGAAGCAAATATAAAAAGTTCAATTTATCTGTATCTTACATCAAAATAGGGCTGCATTTCCATTTCCCCCTGTCCATTCTGTCTCATTTCATCTTTTACTGTGGATACCATTACATTAATATTTAACACATCCACATGCTACCGTGGAATTGAGTAAATTAAGAAAGGCAGTTAATTCCTAATGTAGGACATCTGTCTGAGAGGAAGGCACCACAGCATCCCGAAGTTAATGAAGGATATTGCCTTAACAGCGCCTGGCACAAGTCATCAGTCGTCATGAAGACAGTGTACGTGAGAAGGAAATCATCGAGGAGGGTCTCTGCAAAGAAAGAAAACAAATACCAGGTAAACAAAAAGGTGACAAGAAGGCCAGCTGGTTATCTATGTGCATGGCAAAAATAGCAGAAATGATGGAACTACTGTGGTAGGAAGGGTTAGGAGAGGAGGATTTTGGCCAGAAAATATATCATTAAAGACATGAAAAATTCTTCACATAGAATGCCTCAAGCATAGCTTTTTTTTTTTTTTTTTCCTTGCAAGGCTCTTTAAACATGCAACTCTATCTTTTCTTTCCCTCCAGATACATCATTTATATTTGCAGGTAAACATGTTTTGAAAAGCCAATGCATAAACAATGTGGTTTTGAAAAATAAATTTTGTAAGACTTCTGAGGTATATACTTCAGCCCTATTGGGAATGAAACCTTCATGTTCTAATAGATTAAAGCTTTCCAAATCCATTTATTTACAGCTAGGACAGGAACAATGGATAATAAAATACAGAAGACACACATCAAGTCCCAAGGCCATTTACCTTCCTTGTTCAAATGCATCTATAAGAAATTGGGAAAGTGATGCATGATTTTCTTACTATCATGAAGAGATACTGGGCTGACTCCAGTTAAAATTGGAGAGTAGGTACAGCAAAGTACAGCACAATTCTCCCTAATTCATTTTTTCTACGACAAAAAGGGGTCATCTCTTTGCCTTGCATGCTCTTGGAAAAGCCCAGCTTACTTGTTTGTGTAATATTGAGCTGCTAAATAGGCAAGTTCTGAACTCCAATATAATGATTTCATTTCTCTATCTTTTCATTCTGATCATCCAATGTTTAGTTTTATGCAATAGTAACAAATTATAGAGATAATGTGATTATATGCAATTATAGACTGAATACCTATACCTTCCCCAACTTTGTAAACTGAAACTTTACTGTGTGACGTATTACTAGAAGGTGAAGTATTTGGGAGGTAATTAGATTAGATAAGGTCATAAGGTGGATCCCTCAGGAGTGGGCTTAGTGTCCATATAAGAGTCCTGAGAGTGGCTGCTTCCTATATCTACCATGAGAGAACGCAGTGAGACAACTGTGGGCAGTGAACTAGAAAAGAGTCCTCATAGACACTGACTCTGTTGGTACCTTTGACTTCTGGCCTCCAGAATGGGAAATAAATGTTTGCTGTTTATGTACCACGCAGTCCATGGTATTTTGTTATAGTAGCCTGGGCCGAGACATCAACTCAACAGCATTTGTGTTCTCCAAGATCTACACTTTATAAATGTGTCACTTTGTAACTAATCACCTAGTACAGAGCTCTACCATTCTATGTTAAAGACCGGATGAAAGAAAATTTCCAGAATGTTTAGAAAAACCAGTTAAATTTATTGTAAAAGTTAACTGATGCAAACAGCAAGACTATATTTATAGATACAAAACTCTTATGTAAGAAGTTGTGAATGACATCTATAGTAACATCAGCTGCAACTTTCTTACTTTTACGTTTTGTTTGACCACAGAACATTGCCATAATTCTTATCTGCATTAGATAAGTGGTTGTAAATAGTAATGTTATTAGAAATCTTGCTTTTAAATTTCAAGATGTCATTAACTAAAATGAGCTCTGCTGATGAAGAGTATGAGAATTTCTTCAGCTATTTTGTAGCAGGATTCCTTATCAGGACAGTAAATTTGACAAATGGGAACTAAAATACAAAACTAAACCTTAACTTCTAATATTGTATCACAGTGCAATATACCAGCAATCACAGGTCTAACACCTATTGCTCTGTAGAAGGAGCAAGTTTCCAAACACGTGTGACAGGCTCTGTAGGCTGTGGGGTCGGGGAGGGAACGGCAGCCCAGGGGGGTGGGCATCAGTTAGGCCTAGTGTAAGAAAGCTATAAGAAAGGGCATATGCCTGTAATCACAGCACTTGGGAGGTGAGGCAGGAGGACTGCTCTGAGTTCAAGGCGAACCTAGGCTATGTAGTGAGTTCAAGGCTAGTTTGGACTACACAGTGAGACCCTGTCTCAAAAAACCAAAAGAAAAGAAAAAAGGAAAAAAGAGAAAGCTATGGTGGTGAGCCTAATCAGGCACTGCTCTGCCTGCATTCACAGAAAAGCTCGGAACTCCCAACTAGAATTGGTTTACAAATTTTCAAAGAAATGCACAAGGGCTGGCAATATATAGCTCAGTGGCACAAGTGCCTGCCTAGCTAGCGCAAAGTCCTGAGTTCGATTCCCAAAATGCACAAACAGACAGAAAAAGCTTTATTCTAGGTTCTGCCCCCAAACTAGTTAACTTGGTAGCAAAAGTTAATGACGGGCCATCATAATGAAAAATTGTAGTGATTTTCCATTACAATTTATAAAATAAATGAGATTAAAATTGATCATTTACATAATGCCAGACAACTCAGGATATTTTGCAAATACAGTTTAAAACTATCACTTTGAATTCCTATTAAACGGTGTTCCCATGAATGGTAAATTTTTGCTATGCTAAATGTGGTTGTCACTCAACTTCTTTGGTCTGTTTAGAAATTGAGCTAGGACTTTTTTTTCTTTGCATGTAATATAGATACAAGCAGCAGGGACAACACAGTAGCCTAGCATATATTTTAGTGTCTTCAGTGTGCTCTTAGAGGTAGGAGCCACCAATATATAGAAGCCACTGGTGTCAACATTGAGAACTTCACATGTTGGGCATTTAAATGCATGATGTGACATATGGGTTCATACTCTGGTATGTTCTTACATTTTAGCTGCATTTAATGAGACGAGAACTATTCTCTAAGCAAGAGTTACTCTATTAGTAGCAGGATTTAGAAAAAAAAACATTAACTGTGACATAACCAGTCATGCTGTGCTGGAGAAACCTTGGATAATGAATGGAGTGACTAAAGGAGCTGGTTGGATGACGGCAAACTCATTTGGCTTTCAATTTAATTAATCAGCTCACATACCACAATATTTTGTTCAGGGCTGTGACCCAGAAATACTTATTTTCCTCTAAGCTACTACCCTATTTAATATTCGACAGCATTTACCTAATTATCTCTCTGCCATAGAAATATTAATTAAAATAAAAACAACCAGGCTACATAAGAACATCTCCAGTTAAAATCCTAATGAGTAAAACAGTTAAAAATCCTAATGAATAGAAAAGATTTCCAGCTGGGCTGGTGGTGCACGCCTGTAATCCCAGCACTCAGGAGGCTGAGGCAGGAGGATCATTGAGGCCAGCGTGGGCTACAAAGTGAGCTCAAGGCCAGCCTAAACTGCATAGTGAGACCCTATCTCGAAAAAACAAAACAAAAACAAACAAACAATCAAAAAAGATTTCCAACACTCCTAAGTCCAATCTTTTCCTTTTTAACTACCATCTTGTTCCTTGATTCTTTCTTCAGCATGTGTTTTTTTTGCTACACATATTCTGAAAGCAACTGAGTGATATGAATAAAAAGTCTATAATCAGAGTGATGCACTTCAAATAAAAGTTAGTTTTATAATAGTCATGCTTCAAAACAGGCTGTCCCATTGGTATTTAGAGATATTTTTAGAATCACAATGGCTACATGAATGAGCCCCTGAAGCCTATTAGCCAACAATAGCCATTTAGAAGGACTAGCAAATCCACTAGCATCCATATTAAAACACTATAATTATCTATTATATCACATAGTGCTTAATTAATAGTAATTTAAAACTGTAGGCTAAAAGGCACTTTTGTATGCATAAGACCATCTTTCATAGAAATAAATCTATAGTTGCCAATACACTAACACTCTGAATAATGAGATGCATTCATTTGGATCTCTAACTCTGTGCATACAGTATCTAGGCATTAATATACCAAAAACCCCTTTTCTTTGAAAGTCTATTCATTAAATCTAACCCCAAATCCTCGGCTCACCTCTAAACTTTTGGGAACATCCTCCCCATTCCACCAAAACAAAAGATGGTTTGGAGTGAGTGCTAGGGAATTGAATCCAGGGCTCTTGCACACTAAGTATGTGCTGTACCATTTACACTCTAGGCCCCCAAAAGGAATATATTTTTGCAGTGGCTTTTTGAACTCTTATAACATAAAAGTAATATTCAGATAATCATCAAAACAAGAAGGCGAAAACTATTATAGTTTTAAGTTTTAAGTAACTTGAAAGAAAATACATCAATGTGCAGTCAAAAATCTATGGTCTTGATGTAAGTCATTCTAAAATTCAGTCTAAACCAGGCAGGGTGTCATATACCTATCATCCAAACACTCTGGGAGGCTTCAGTCAGGGAGATCACAAGTTCAAAATTAGCCTAGGCTATACAAGCAGTTTGAGGCCAGCCTGGAACTCTTCCTCTCCCTACTCCACCCCATTAAATAAATAAATAAATAAATAAAATTCAGTGCACAATTAATCATACCTACTGATGTGATAAAGGACTTTTGCATGACACCTGATACTATTTACAATTTTTAGGTATCAGAAAGCAACTATTTTTATTTGATTTTACTGGACTATATTCAAAACGTTTACTCACTCTCACTTTATGCAACCACTAAGAATTCCCAGTTTATTTCTGTAATACACAAGGGTCTCTAGAATATCCTAGAGTGGGTCAAGGTGGAATGGTAAGAGGTTTGGTTACAGACCCTTTTCATAGGGTCTGTTATGCAAATGAAATCAAATGACAGAAACTGATCTACACATTACCAAAAGGGTTAAGCAAAATGCTTTTGTTGGTAGAAAACCAAGAAAGGCAAAGAAAAGCCCCTAGATTCCTAAAATCATAGGAGAATAGGATTACTTAGGAATAATTATCGAACTTTACCTCGGTTATTTTTTCAAAACACATAAGCAAAATTAATGCAATAATGAAACCACTCATCTGTGAAAGTGAATTACTAAGAAAGCAAATGGAGAGTTCTGACAGGCAACTGCCTACGGTTCCATCTGATCTAACTATGGTAATGTGACTATTCCACACCTCTGTACTACCTTATACTCCCTCAAGTACGCAGTTGTGTTTCACCCTTATGCAATGC